CTCACAGCAAAGGGACTGAAAGCAAATTCTAACAAGATCAAAGCAGTCAGAGACATGCCTGTGCCAGTGAATATGCAAGAGGTATAGCTCATAGGAATGATACATTTTCTGTCCAGTTTTTCTCCCTTCCTGTCTGCAGCAGTGGAACCAATACATCAACTCACAAGGCAGGATGCTGAGTGGGCAGGTTCCCAACAGCAAGCATTTAACATACTGAAATAAATTATAATGGATGCTAGGAGAGCCACTGACACTCCAGTGTGATGATTGGAGAAAGGTTTGGGTGTAGCTCTTTTACAGGAGCAGCCGGTTGCTTATGCCTACAGAGCCCTGTCAGAGATTGAACATGGGTATGCCCAAATAGAAAAAGAGTTTGTGATTGTTGTATTTGGGGTTGAGTGATTCCATCAGCACACTTATGATCACTCATTAATAGTGCAATCAGACCACAAAATTCCTAGAGACAGTCATGGCAAAGTCCATTCTTAGTGCTCCAAAGAGATTGCAGTTCATGTTGATGCACATCCAGCACTACCAGGTAGAGATCAGATGTTGTCCAGAACAATTACTGGTGTTAGCTGACACCCTGAGCAGGTCATATATACCCAGCACCAGGGAGTTGGGGGAAGAGAAATCAGGATATTAAATCCATTAACTTGCTGCACTATCTTCTAGGTTAAGCTGATGGAAATCAAAGACATTATGAAAAAAATCCAATTACAGGCAGTCAAGACAGCAATACTAGCAGGGTGGCCAGAAGACATAAGCTAACTACTGGTAGGAGCAGAACCGTATTTTCAAATTAAAGATGAGCTGAGTTGCAGGATATAATTATATTTTGAGGAAGAGAGCTATTGTCCCCACCTCATTGCATTGGGATGTCATAAAAAAAATATGCCTCACAGCTGGGCATGACAGCTGTCTTAGACAGGCTCAAGAGTATGTTTACTGGCCAGGAATGAATACATTTGATAGATGGGTGTGACACCTGTTGTTTGTGTGATAACCACTTGCAGAAAGAGACTGTTACCACATGAGCTGCCCGCCTGACCATAAGAAAAAGTGGGAGTGGACTTATTTACCTTCAAGGAAAAACAGTACTTGTTTACAGTGGATTACTATTTGTATTTTTGGGAGTTTGATGCCCTGCCTGATACCATAAGCAAGTCAGAGATCAGCTATACCCTTTTCATATCCACTGGTTCTGGAATGTCTCTGTCTGCCTTGATCTTTAACTGTCCCACTCTCCCATGGTACCAGTGCCCTCAAGTTAGGCATTATGGCTCAGATCCTCAAAGATATTTAGGCTCCTAACTGCCTTTGAAATCAATGGAACAGTGGTTCTCAATCTATTTACCACTGTGGACTGCATATGCAGCTCTCTAATATATATACTACCTTTATGGCCCTGAGGATGTCACATGGGTTGCAGCTGTGTGCTGATTGGGCCATGGAACAACCGCAATGGAAGTTAGGAGCCTAAATACCTTTGTGGATCCCAGCCTATGCTTCACAACATTCTAGAAAAGTTATTTTATACAGAAAGCTAACTTTCATAGACACAATGGCTTCTGGTCAATTAGAAAGAAAAAATCTAACTAATTTATATCAATCTTTGAATAGAGTCATAGAATTTAAGGACAGAAAGGACCACAAGATCATTTAGTCTGACCTCCTGACATCTTTCCTAACAAAGCAATATGGTTTATATATGCACCAGAGGAAAAGGATTTGGATAGACAAATTACTCAAAAGGAATGGGCTTTGATCTGGAAAAGAAGATGACCAGAAACTTCAGTTTGTAGTACAATAAAAGAAAATTTATTTAAGATCCTGTTTCAGTGGTACCTTGCACCAGTCAGGTTAAAATGGAAAGAGACATTGAACAGAGGAAATGTTGGAGAAATTGTGATGAAAGAGGAGATTTTATGCATGATGGACATTTCCAGTCATTAGAGAGTATTGGGATGCAATTAGTAATGAAATATTAAAAATCATTGGGGCTTCATGGTAGAAATGGTCTCACTCAAAGAAATGAAGAATTAGTCACTCATGTGCTACTAGATTCCAGGCTACTGATAGCCTCTCATTGAGAAAAGAAACACAGCACAAAATTAGAGAAGTGGTCCTAAAAAATAAGGGAGGATGTTCTTATGGAAAAATTAACCTTCAGTTACATACCCTAGTAAAATAGAAGACAGATGCTTAGATACTTGATTACTATTTATTCAATACTCAGACAATGTACATTTGCCTGCAAAGAAACTACCATGCCTGTCCAATTTTTTTGGAATATTAATGTTTGATAGAGACACCTGGTTTGATAAATAGTAGTCAGTTGTTTCATTCAATTTAATAAAATCACCAGAAACAAGACAGGCTGGTGGTAAGAGGCTCACTTTGTAATATGATAACATCCTGCTAAATAGAGAGATGTTCACTATTATATCATTGCATAATGTTTCTCTAAACAAAAATACAAGCCCAGTGTTGTAATATTAATGTTTTATTCCTGATATTTATATGGCAATTATTGTAAACCTTCTTAAATAAACAGTTATAAAAATGGTTAAGAGGTGTAGTCCTTCTCAAATATACGTTCGATTTAATGTTTGGATAATAATTGAAAATGTTTAAATAAATTTTAAAAATGAGATAATATCCTGACTTGCTTTTAATCCAGAAGGCAACAAATACTGAGTTTCTGATTACTGCCTTTAATATCCAGTTCAGGAATGTAAATACAGGGCTAGTTAGTCTCTGTTCAAATCTCTCGACAGTAAATAGCCTTCCTGCTTATGAAAAGTCATGACCTGGAAGTAACATTGTAAAAATGTCATTCATCAGTGTCAAAGGAGTCCTGTTGAAAAGGATAAATTTCAAACTTAACTTCAAAGGTTTGGAAACCTTACTACTTTGTGTTTGAAGATATTGTGCAACTCTGCTTTTAGGAACAGCACAAGTACAATGGAAAAAGGTTTCTTCATCTCCTGAAGAGGATATTTTCTCATGACTGGTCTTTTTTCTCTTTTTAGTGAAAGTAAAACAGTTGATTTAATAGGGAGATGCTTTGTTGCTTGAGCTCTTTTACCAGTCAGACTGGGAAAGTCAATAACTAGCAGTCTTGTTAACTAGACTTAGTTTTAACAACCTTTTGGCCTTCACATTGGTCAAACAATGGGTCACAAAGACCTCTAAAATACTTTTGTTGTTTTGGTGACATTCTGGAAGTTATTTCTGTACTAGGACTGCAGGATCTGAATGATTGCTTCAGTCTGATATTGGGAAGACAATGGGTATGTCTACACCAGAGCAGGAGGTATAATTTCCAGCTGTGATCAAGCTAGCACCCTACAAACAGTAGTGTCACTACAGCGTTGCAATTGGCAGGATGGTCTAGCTGCTTAAGTATGTATCTATGTTTCAGATGGGATTGTACTCAGATGGCTAGCCCATCCTGCTGCTCACATCACCAGGGCTATATTTCTATTTTAGCACACTACCTCAATCAGAGCTAGAGCAGGTATGTATATCCAAGCTGGAAATTACACCACCAGCTCCTAGATATACCCAGTGTCTGTCACTTTCTACTGCACTATGTGAAGAGCACAGTCTGTATACTATTCAGAGATGCTAATCACATCAGTGAAAAATTAACCTGCTTGAAACCAGGTGTTTTTTAAACTTATCTAAGTGTCTGATGTTATAACAAAAAATAATGCTGTTAATATATCAAGCTTTTCTAATTAAAATGTTTATATATTAAAATAGTTAATCTGTTTCTGAAAATATCAGTTCACTTATATGTGATAGAGTTAACTGTTTCCCCTTGAATAATTAGAATAACCACCTTTTCTTTTGGGTAGGGATATCTGTGCTTGCTATGTGCAAGCTTTCTAAATACTCAGCTAATTTAAGTCTTTCCTTGTAGGATTTTCAGGGTAGGTTTTGTTTAAATGCCCAAATTAATAGAAGGGTTCAGTCAAAATATTCCCTTCAGCTGGCTTATCAAGCTTGACCACGCTAATTTTTTAGTTGCTCTCTTTTGGTAAGGCTGGACTCACAACAGTATTTCTCTAGTTTTACACTGGAATAAATCCACAGAAATGAAGTTACACCTGTGTAAAATTGGAATAATGCAGCAGTGAATCAGGTTCATAGTTAAAGAAAAAGACATAACTTTTCCATATGAGAGGGTGAATGGAGAAGAAATCTCATAGGACAGATGCTGGTCTTCCTGTTTATCCTTCACTCTGGAAGGCACCCACATACCACGGTAATGGGTATGGTCTAAACAATATAGAATAGAGACATAGGGATGGAAGCACTATCTGACAGCCCTTCTTAGGGCTCCAGAAAATAAAGATTGGGAACCATTACATTAGCTATGGGTTGTATGACCAAATCCAGGTCTGGCAGCATGTAGTTTTGAACTCTCCACACTTGGGATTTTGAGAGATGGAACTTGGTGGAAATGAAAGTTTACTATTCAGCAAAGCATGTTATTTATATGACCTACTATCAGATCTACAGGGGGAAATATCCGTTTGACAAAAAATAATGAACACAAGCTGCTAATTTAACTATATATTGTTCATATGGCAGCACTATTGTGTGGCTACTATTGTTGCATTGATTCTTCCACAGTAGTCCACTGCCTGTTCAAATAACATACTAAATGGATGGTAGACTATAATCAGGAAGTATTATAAGGTATTTATACTTGATAGGAAGTCCAGAATACATGCTGGAACTGCCATGCGTAAGGGCTTTGAAAAAAACACTGTAGCCTCCGACCCTAACTTCAAGCTAAGGTAAGAATCATGAACTGGGATTCTGTCTATGTTTGAAGTCATCCTTTAGCTTTAAGGCTCCTCCCCTTCTGCCCCCACCTCTAAAGACCTGGTATTTCTATGAGAGTAAATAAGTTACAGTAATCTGAATAAAAATATTTTTTGTCTCTAAATCTATATTTGGAAAATTTGTGTTTTTATTATTAGAGCTTCTCCATGTGAAGCTGAGCTTCAGGAATTAATCCACCAAATTGACATCATGGTAAACAACAAGAAACTGGAATGGGAAAGGAAGGTGCGAGCTTTAGAGGCAAGAATGGATGTCCGGGATCAAGAATTAGCAAATGCCCAAAGCAAGTTGGATCTGAAAGGTCAAGAGGTACGTACATGAATACCATCTCCTATAAAGAAAGCATTTAATTCTGGGAGTTAGTTAATAGCATGCTTTATAAATATGCCTGTTCATGTATCACATCAGAATACAGAACAAGTTCTTTAAAGATCAGTAATGATCTCTGATATTTTGTATTAAAATGTGGTTCTGCTCTGAAAAAATTACTGTAAAAATGTCATTGAGCAGTTCAATATTTAGTAACAGAGGGTCCTGTGGCACCTTTAAGACTAACAGAAGTATTGGGAGCATAAGCTTTCGTGGGTAAGAACCTCACTTCTTCAGATGTTAGTCTTAAAGGTGCCACAGGACCCTCTGTTGCTTTTTACAGATTCAGACTAACCCGGCTACCCCTCTGATACTCAATATTTAGTGTGTCTCAATTATGTCCAGTTCATATATGTCCACTGTTTACAAGTAAAAAGTTGATTTGATGGTTTTTCTAAATGCCAGCCCAGCTAATTCAATCTGGGATTTTAAAGTCAAAATGGGTTCTTTCCTTCTTGTGCATTCTCACTAATTATAAAGGTTCTCCAGGCCAAATTAGGCCTTCATTTACACCTTGGCAACTCCATCATTATTACTATTTATATTGCAGTACCACCTAGGATTACTGATCGAAGATCAGACACCCTTTCTGCTAGACACTGTACAGATGCACAGTCATATCTACTGGGTATACATTGAGAGACGATAGTGCAATCCTCGTGTCTCCCAACAATTTGCATTTGTGTAATTCAAGTTTAGTAAAGAAATGTGAACAAAAATCCATCTTGCGAACTCTTGGCTATGTTGGCTCTGCAGAGTTAATAGGAGTAAAAATTAGCAAAAAAAATTGTTTTGTCACTAATGAAAGCAGGTGTGATTTTCTATACACACATGAAAGATGATCTGTGCAGTAAGGTTCTATTTTACCTTTTTCACTATCCACAATGGCAACCCCTTCTGTTATTCAGATTTACCTACATTTTGTTGCCACGATGCTTGTGAGTTTGTTTCATTTTAGCGGGATGTTTGTTTGTTTGTTTTTGTGTTTTGTTTTTGTTTTTAAGTAATGCATAAACATGCACATGAAAAGATAAAAATGTAAAGAGGTTCATTGTTGCCTTAAATGAGTGATGGGCGCTGCTTATTTATGAGGCTAGTCCAGCAAAAATTTCACGCAGATGTTAATCTGCCCAGTTCTCAACTCAGCTACTCAGGTCAGGTGGTGGTCTAAGGAATTGCTCCTAAGACAAGATCTTTCAATACACAATTATATAATGCTATAATCAAATGATAATGTAAATATGCAATGGACTTTTTGGGTACAAAATCTCAAACTTAAGCAATTTAGTTTTGTGGTATCTAATTTTACTTTTTAATAGCTTGTTAAAATACGTACAATAAAAATATTTACCTTACGGGCACCAGTCCTATTTACAATTTTGTCTATGTTAAATATTAACCTTTTAGGAATTATTTGGAAAAAGTAAAATTGAATGTTTATTCTAAATGTAGGTAGGGATACTTCGACAGAAGTTAGACAGCTTGCAGAAGACTAAATATGAGATGGCTCAGGATTTCGAAGCTCAACTTCAAGCACTGAAGTCTCAAGTAAGGAAAAAGTCAGATTCAGTATTTTACAGTGGTTCAATATTTTCAGGTTAGTTTTGTAGATTTTGAACAGTTTTCTAAACTTACTTTATATTTCCATTTCTAATCATATCAGCTAATATTTCTTTAGAATTATTTAAAGACTTACTTTGTGTTGAGAATTTGGTTTGATAAATATGAAGTATTTTTGTACTCGTTCAATTTGTGTTATCTACATGTAAAAATTTTATCCTTAACTATTTTCTAAAAAATGTTTCTAATGTATAATTTAATAGATGTGTCTTCATGGATTTGTGAATGGTAAATTATCACACTTTTTAATTTTGGGTGACCATATCCACTTTCATGGGTTCAATTATCATTTCTATAAGGAGAACTCTGAATCTACTTCTCCACACTGGACTTATTGTGACAATGTGATCAAAGGACATGGAAAGAGCCTCTGCCAGATGTAAAACCTGTGGACTATGGACTAAGTACCTTAAAGGGCTAAAATCACTTAATCAGGGTCATGATAATTAGAAGATGATTGCACACAGGGAATCTTGATGTGAGAACTGTCTTTATGTTGACGTGTTTTAGATTGCTCAAGGTTGTCTTGTTTTTAAGTTAAGATTATTTGTGTTATGAAGGCTACTGGAAAGCTCTGGAAACAGCTTTCAGGTTCATAGTTTTCAGGTTCATAGTTCCAGCTATGAACAGATTGGTAGTTTTCCATGAGAGAGGAGGTATAAAAACCAGAGGGAACTGGAAGAGGAGGCATCAGGTTGGATTCATTTTGCTTTTTGATTATTTTGTTTGCTCCATGTCTGTCCTTTTTCTCTGTTTTTCTCTGTTTTCCACTCTTAGCTATGAGTCTAATGGGTGTCAGGTTAACTGAACTTCAGTCCATAGTGTTTCTCAGATTTTAAAAATGTAGCCTAGACAGTCCTAGATTTGGTCTTTTCTTTCTTATCTGATGGTGTCTTCAATGTTTTCTGCTAATGGGAAAGGGAAAGAAACAAAGGCTTGGGCTATACTTAAAACTTATACCAGCATAGCTATGTCAGTCAGCGGTGTGAAAAAAGCTACACCCTAATGACATAGCTTTGCTGATAAAACCCCCAGTGTAGATGCAACTATGCCAACAGAGGAGTGCTTCTGTTGGCATAGGTAATGTTATTTGGGGAGGTGGTGTTCTTACACCAGCAGAAAAACTCCTCCTGTCAGCACATGCTGCATCTACACCAGGGGCCTGTGCCTGCATAAGCTCTGTAATGTAGACATAGTTTGTCCAACAACCAGACCTCTTCAACAAATCAGCCTTCCAGTAAAACCTCAGATGGACCTCGGACTTGGCGTGGCCAAGTAAAAAACTATAATTTTGATCTGATGGTGACAACATTCCTTACCCACATACCACCAGACCATAAAATGGAGCATCTGTTCTTTTTTAAACTTCCATTTCCCTTCCTCAGTCTTCTCTTTTATCTGTGTTTGCCTGTATTTGGTTGGAGAAATTGATCTGACAAACAAACAGCTTTGTAAATAAGCTGAGAGTGTTTTGGTTGTCAACTAATTACCACTTTCAGTCTTTTAAGAAAACAGTTATGAAACAAAAGCTGTTTTTGTAACTTACAATGTTTCCCTGCATTGTAAATATAGATACAAGATTTACATCTTGGTGTGATTACTGAGAAGTTAAGCATTAGACAGTGAAAAAAAGAACTCTAGTTTTCCTCTAGTGATTCTGTACATATATATTCCACAGTATATAAGTGTAAGTAGGTATAAGTGCATCCAGTGCACTAGAGTCGGAGACCTTTGCTACCATTACCACCAAGTGGCTTATGCTGCCCTGTTTTCCTCATGCTCAGAAACAAAAGGCATAAAAGGGGCATGGCCACCACATCTTTCTCAGTTCCTTCTTACCATCTCTAGCAAGAATTGGAGCTCCCCATCACTCTTCAGCTTCAGTTAACCAGCCACTAGTCAGAGATTTCTCTAATTGTACAAGGTTCTGGTTATAGTTAGCCTTAGCATAATTTAGTTTATTAGATAGAGTCCTTTTATTTAGGAATTCAGTAGGAACAAATCCCCAAGATTCAAACAATGTGCCACATGCTGGGCTGTGATTGTTGTTACAGATAGGCACAAAAGCTGCCTAATTTGCATAGGTGAGGGGTGTGTGAGGGACAAATGTCCTATCTGTACCCCCTTTCCTATGAGGATGAAGAAACTGGGATTTCCACCTCAAAGTGCATCTTATAAAAGAAATAATGCTTCCCTCCGCAGTGCATGACCCTGATCACAAGAGAACGAACAGCTCGGCCACAAGGAGCACCCCTCCAGCTGCCCCAGAGTCTAAGACAAAATGCTGCTCTTCTTTTTCTCCGGTGGCCTCCTTGAAACATTTTAAACTTTCTTCTTTATCTGAGAGGCAGTTGAAGTTTCACTCTGCACCCCACATGAGTCCTCCAGTGTCACGTCAAGGTCAGGTCACAAATACTGACACTTACCAGCGCTGTCTGAGGTGGCACTGTCAACTCTGTTTCCACTGGTGCCATTGAGCTTGCGGTCATCACTGTTATAAAAAACATATTTGTTCCCAGCACTGTTGGGTCCAGTACCCCCGGCACCTGCAGCAGAACACTTGCCTCTTACCTTACCTTACAGTCTCCCCCAGGTCAGTGCCACCAGCATCATTTACAATCACAGATTCCTCACTTCCACTGGCTTCTTCATCACAACCCTCAATGACGGCACTGTCAGCACCACTGACACTGACCTATTCTTTTGCCTTCCGACCATTTTGCCTGCTTCCACCAGCTCCGTCATATACATCCTCTATGTCAGTACCTTAAGGACAGCACCAGGTTTTGCTGACATTGAGACCTCCACGAATGCCAAGTGGAATGCTCGTCCATTCACTAAGGAGAGTTATACCGCCTCTTCAAATTTGGACCATGATAGACCTGTATTTCCTCCACAATCTTTCGGGTCTCCTTTTAGGTCACACTCTAGTGATGCCAGAATCAAGGGGCAAGATTGGCATTTTTACAAGGAAGTCCATGTATTATGCCTATCACCCTCATGGGCAGTTCAAAGAGTGGAATCCCCCGTTGGCTTTATTGCGCATCTTGGACTGCCCCAAGACTGTCTAGACCACTGTTGGAGTCTCAGTGTAGGAGATGATTGCATTCTCCCTTTCTGGAGACTTCAAGGGAGGATCCTCCTACCATCCCTCAATCCCCTCCTTTGCTGAAGCCCACAGAAAAAGATGCAAGAAAAGAACACCTAGGTGTTCCCATCACAATATTTCATCTTCTTTGATGCATAAGGCCATCACCCCACAGTTAACATCACCCTCCTCCCCACCCCACCCCCAATAGAGGGCTTTAAAGTGTTTCAGGACCTCATGGCCACATCTCTAGGATTGCAGGAAGAGCTTGTGTAAGACCACCTACACAAGTTTTTTGATATCTTACAAACACCTACCACAAGAAGGGTTGTCCGTCCCATTAATGAAGCCTTTCTGGAACCTGCGAAGAACCTCTGGCAGATGCTGGCCTCCGTCCTGCCCATTCTTAAATATGTGGACAGGTGTTATCAGGTTTCCCAGCAGGAATTTGATTATTTCTTCACCCACCCTGTCCCAGAATCCCTTGTGGTTATGGTAGCCAATGAGTGTTCAAAGCAGTCTCATCCTAGGGCCACTTCAAAGGATAAGTTTAAAAGATTGGATTTATAGTGCCTTTCTGGCACTATCAATCGGCCTATATCACTGTGCTTCTTCAGATGAGGGTGTTGAATTATCAGGCACTATTGTTGAAATATACCTTTATTAACTGGTGAGCAGTTTCCAAATTGGGGGACAAAATTGCGTGAAGAATACAAAGAACAGTTCTTGGCCACGATCTCTGAAGGACATCTCACTGCCTGAACATCGCTCAAAGTGGCCATCAGTGTGGCCAACACTACCTTGTTGTGTACAATGGATTGCATATGTGCACAATCATGTAGGAGGAGGAACAGTTATTTACCTGTACAGTAACTGTTGTTCTTCAAGATGTATTGTGCACATATACATTCTTCAATCCTCCTGCCTTCCCCACTATTTCGGATATTAGATAGGCAGTGGTGTGAAGGAACAGAGAGGGAAGCTGCGGTCACACCCCTTTTATGCCATCACTCTGAGCACGAGGAGAGCAAATGCTGCCTGTTGTGCTGCCTGGTGATAATGCTAGCAAAAGTCTTTGGCTCAACTGCATTGGGCGCACTTACACTTACAGTGAAATATATATGTGCACAACACATCTCGAAGAACAATAGTTACTGTACCAGTAAGTAACTATTTTTTTAGCACTAGTTGTGGGGTGGATTTTGTTACAATTAAATAATCCATAAATTACATCAGATCTAAATCCTGCCTTACATTATCATATTTCCTGTTATCGCTGTAGTATCTTGTATGGCTTGCCATCATCTCAAGTTAAACATTTTTTCTCCAAATGCTCTCCACTGCCATCATTTTCTGTTTCTGCTAACAACTTCACCATCTTCTCTGTTACTGAGACTCACAACTTGGCGGTCATAGATTTATAGATTCCAAGGCCAGAAGGGACCATTGTGACTGTGTAGTATGACCTCCTATATAAAATAGGCCATAGAACTTCCTCATAATAATAAATAAGAAATAATAATAATTAATGAATAATGAATAATTAATGTAATCTTTCATGACAATTGTGCCCTTGAGCGTATTTCTTTCTTCTGCAAATCCAAGCCATGAGCAAATCCTACCTGTTCCCTTCATAATATTTTTAAAAAATCTGACCATTCCTATCCATCTTAACAACAGTCAGATTATTTGTTTACACTCTGAACATCTTCAACACCAACTAGCATAATTTCTTTCTCTCTGGTCTTGGGTCCCAGCTTGCCAAAATTTTCTTTGTTATCCAGCACTCAGACCATTTCAACCCCTCTTTGAATCTCTTCATTGATTTCTTATTGCTCTACATGTATGAAGTGCAAACTTCTTGTTCTGGCTTGTAAAGCCCTACATCACTCTCTCCTGACTTCAATTGCCACCTGCCCCCTTTGCTTTCTGCGACTTCCTTTGTTCTGCCAGACATGCCAGTCTTAATGCCCCCTTCATTACATTCTCCTTCTTCTGCTTCTTTGCCTTCTTTCATGCCTCTCTTTGCGTGGGACATCCTTCAAATTCTTATTCACTAAGCTACCACTCACTCTTTCCTCATTCAGATCCCTCCTAAAAGCGCAATTCTGTCCTGAAGAAGATGAGTATTATGTTACACTAATAAAATAATACCAACAGGATCTTATAAAGTGGGCAAGGCAAAACGCCACATTTATTGTAAATACAGAGCGAGAGAGAAAAATTAGGATATGCAATTCAATATTATTTCACTACCATTCCTTATTCATTCACACATTCATTCATACAAGTTCTGCAGAGTTGGTATAATTACCAGCTTAGAGGTTGCTCATGGCAGAGTACTGGCCAGGTAGTCTACACATGAGGGTGGAGCTGAGTCCTTGTCAGATGCGCATCCGATGCTCCTGGAGGGTGGTTGCAGAACCGGACTCAAAATTTTCAGTCTTTAGAGTCTGTTCTTATAGGATTTTGTCCTTATACAAGTCTATGGGAATTGCTTCATTCTGCTGATGTTTGTTTGAGGTGATTTTCAAACAGCAAGTGGCACATCCCTGATGACTGAATCTCTGAGTGTTATCTTCAAAAAAAGAACAGGAGTACTTGTGGCACCTTAGAGACTAACAAATTTATTAGAGCATAAGCTTTCGTGGGCTACAGCCCACTTCTTCGGATGCATATAGGAAGGAACATATATTGAGGAGATATATATACACACACATACAGAGAGCATGAACAGGTGGGAGTTGTCTTACCAACTCTGAGAGGCCAATTAAGTAAGTGAAAAAAAACGTTTGAAGTGATAATCAAGATAGCCCAGTACAGACAGTTTGATAAGAAGTGTGAGAATACTTACAAGGGGAGATAGATTCAATGTTTGTAATGGCTCAGCCATTCCCAGTCCTTATTCAATCCTAAGTTGATCGTATCTAGTTTCTGTTTTTGAAGTTTTTCTGTTGTAAGATAGCCACCCGCAGGTCTGTCATTGAATGACCAGACAGGTTAAAGTGTTCTCCCACTGGTTTTTGAGTATTATGATTCCTGATGTCAGATTTTTGTCCATTAATTCTTTTGTGTAGAGACTGTCCGGTTTGGCCAATGTACATGGCAGAGGGGCACTGCTGGCACATGATGGCATATATCACATTGGCAGATGTGCAGGTGAACGAGCCCCTGATGGTATGACTGATGTGATTAGGTCCTATGATGATGTCACTTGAATAGATATGTGGACAGAGTTGGCATCGGGCTTTGTTACAAGGATAGGTTCCTGGGTCAGTGTTTTTGTTCAGTGATGTGTGGTTGCTGGTGAGTATTTGCTTTAGGTTGGGGGTGGCTGAGCCATTACAAACATTGAATCTATCTCCCCTTGTAAGTATTCTCACACTTCTTATCAAACTGTCTGTACTGGGCTATCTTGATTATCACTTCAAAAGTTTTTTTTCACTTACTTAATTGGCCTCTCAGAGTTGGTAAGACAACTCCCACCTGTTCATGCTCTCTGTATGTGTGTGTATATATATCTCCTCAATATATGTTCCATCCTATATGCATCTGAAGAAGTGGGCTGTAGCCCACGAAAGCTTATGCTCTAATAAATTTGTTAGTCTCTAAGGTGCCACAAGTACTCCTGTTCTTTTTGCGGATACAGACTAACACGGCTGCTACTCTGAAACCTAAGTGTTATCTTGTTCTCGGAGTCTTCAGCCCTCCATCCGGGGGGGAGGGCACTTGGGTGGATTCCAGCCTGCCCTCCAGGGGTCATCCGGTTATCTCTAGTCTGCGCATTCTTCAGGCAATCGAGACTGAAGTTGTAATTCCTAGGCTGGCACTTCCCTGACCATTCATTCTTTCTCTAAATCAAGCATCCATTCACATACATCCTCTATTTTAACATGCATTTATCACTTATTACTTTACTATTTCTTAACTTCTAGCAACTCTCAGGATGTTGCAAATCTACTTAAACTTTAACATATATAGCAAACAAGTTAAAAGCTGTGTTCTGTTTTGAAAACAATTACAGTTGTTTTTGAGAACAGACTTTCTGTTTTAGGATGTGTTAACACAATTAGCAGTTTGGCCTTGCATGTTTTTCACAGAGAGGGAGAGACACAGAAATGGAAAAGCAAGAGGCCTAAACTGTGGGGAATTCAATTGAATTCAATCTTACCCCTTGTCTCTCTTGGCCTCAAACTTGTTATACACATACGCTTTATGGTTCTAATACAGAAATTTCCTGATATGGTCCAACAATAAAGCCTCCCTACCCCAGATGTATCAGTTTATACACATGCCTAAACTAAGTAGCCACATGATCTGATTAGTGTAATCCTTTTCCGACCTCATTTCTTCCACTCCCCTCGTTTGTTTACTGCCCTCACTTGTGTGTCATACCTAAACCTACACTGTGAATTCTTCAGGGTTGAGACATGGGGCCTAGCATACTTTTGAGTGCTGAAAAATAATATATCATAATAATATAGGGTGTTAATCTTGAGGCCCTGCTAATTAAGATTAACATTAATTTAGGGCTAAAATTCAGTGGAATGTAAACACAAAACTCTGGTGGCTGAGGGACTGGCAGCTACTAGACTTCCAGATTATTTGGAGAAGTGTCCATGGTAAAAATTGTAAAATATTGGCAAATGTGGTGACAATGGCCATTTTAAGTATGGCCCAGTTCCTTTCACCTCAAACCCTCTGAGAATCCTCCTGCTACTGCCTGATTCCCTCCCTCTACCCTGTCACCAGTGTCTTCTGCTGCTTAGCTTACCTTCTTCCGTCTTGTACCCAGCACCTGAGTTGTTCTTTGTCCTCCTGTTGTCTACCTCCCTGTTCTTTCCATGGCTCCAGAGCCATCCCTTCATTATAGGTATCAGTATGCAGAGTTATATTTGGTATTATTTGGTACCTGATGATCCCAAGGTAATGAAACCACCATATCCCTAATATATCAACAGTTTTTATGTTAAAATTAAGCATTTAAATACCTTAAACTGCTAAACGTCTTCATGAATAAATGGATATAAACCAGTTAATCCCTTATTCTGGTTACTGAAGTACTTTTAAAAATTGTCAACACAAGATGGCACTAAACAAATGTAAAACAGTACAAGAATTGATTTTACATGGTTAAAAACAAAAGTGCCATACAAAATTTCAACAGAAAAAAACAACTGTGAAGTAAATCTGTGTTTAACTGGGCAGTTAATAAACACTCAGGGTTATATGAAAGCTTAGTCTTGTTCGTCTTTAATCATTTAGTTTTAATAACTGGTGCTTTGTTACAGAGATTCACTAATTAGAATGTTTAAGCTTCACTGCATTTACCAATTATGACTTAAAGAAAAGATTATCTGAGATAGAAGAGTGTCACATATTCTTAATATTCATATCTCCTTTCATTTTTAGTTTTGTAAACTGACACAAAGCTATGAAAAACTACAGTTACACCAGATAAAACAAGATAGGGTTCACGGTAAAGAAATATTTGCAGAAAATCTGGAAACTCCATTTGAACTGCGCAATTTAAACCAGAAATTGGAAGTAAGTATATTTTGCTGTTATAGTAGACCTAGTATATCTTCAGGATTCATACTTGGTTTACAGTTTCAGGCTGTAAATCCCATAAGCATGTACTGTGTTCTGTATACAATATGGAAAGAACTGTGTGTTGACAGTGTTTTCTGTTCTTCAAAGGCATTAATTTTATTAATACTGTTTTTAGTCCTGTTAATATAGATCAGCCAGCTCATAAATTTAAATTTGAAAGAAACAGTTACTCCGTCCCTGATCTCTGAGGGACATATTATTCAATAAGGGAATGGTTCAGAAGAATTTTTGCATTCAGGGGGATGTTCTAGGCTTTTCATGTTATGGTCACTATTAATTAGTTTTAATAGATTTCAAGACTAGAAGGGACCATTTTGATTATCTAGTCTGACTTCTTGCATAACACAGAGCATAGGATTAACTCCTCCCACCTACAGAGGATTGTTCCTGCCTGATAGGGCATATCACCAGCCCTCCAATAGAGGTGTGGCTATCTCTTCCACGTGGAAAAGCCCACACCATTATAAAATCTGTCAAGCCTTGGAGCCCACCAGAGTGGCTAACAGTTGTTACTACTAGAGTAATGCATGGTTTATGCATCCACCTAGGGCTAAATATATATCTTCCATGACACTCTCAGAACCTGCTAATGTGAGAATGACCTTATCCAAGGTTTGAACATGAATACAATGAAACACAGTGCTACCAGTTGGTAAATTATGCAGTATGAAAAATGAATGCTTGGAATGTGTTCAGCAGAGTCTAGTTTTAAGAAAATAATAACTGTATTGAAAATCTACTGAAGCTCAGCAATACTTTACTAGTTTCTTGAACCTGCAGTCCTCACTTTGTAGTCGGATGAATATGCATTGTATCTGATGTTGTGAAGAAATAAAAGCTGTTTATATTTGCTTATAATTCCGAAACAGACAGTAGTAAAAGTATAGAAAAATTATGGATCAATCAGCTTCATAGGGCATATATGCAGCAAACAGAATCTGACTATTCAAAATTCATAATTACACTGAGATAGGAAAACTGCACAAATTTATCTGGGTCTCTGGAACCTACATTTCCATTTGGAAAAATGAAGTTCCTAGTCTGGGTTTTAAAGATATTTTTTGCGGAGGGGGGAGGAGGGTTGTGTGTAAATCAATGCATTGTTACTTTGATTCTTTATCCAAAACTGAAAAAGCAACAATCTCCAGTAGCTATGGAGTACTACTGATTATTTTATTGGGTATAATCTTCAAAGTCTAGTTATGAATATTTAAATTCTAATACCTTTAAACACCTAACTAAAATACACTCAGCTCCATTACAGAAATATGAAAATAATAGAAATTGCTAATCAGGTTTGGGATTAAATTCTGTGGACTCAAGGCAGGAATTCCTCCTACCCCTTAAAAAACCGCACAAAAACCATTACCAGAATGAGCAGCAAAAGAGGGCAAGAGAGGAAATGTTTCCCCCTTAGCTGCCCTCCCACTTTCTTAAGAAAAAATATAGTTCTGCACTGAAATTGTTCATCTGAACACCAAGAGCCTGACTTACTGCTGCATTATTCTAATTTGTACTGGTGTAACTCCATTGAAATCAGAAGAATTACACTGTATAAAACTGGAGTAACACATGGTGAATCAGGCCTCTAAGGTCTACAACAACTGAAGATATATGAAACTTTAAAAATGTTTCTAACATTTTACTTCAGTTATTGTGGATATTATTCAGCGTGCTCAGAATAACAACTTTTTCAACTGCTGGAATTTTCTCCTGTTGCAAGAAAATGAAAAACTTTTTTTTGCATTTCCTGACTTCTTTTCTTTCCACAGATTTGATTGTCCCTCATTATTAATAATAAATATATATTAATTACACAAGTGACTTTTCTTAGAACTATAAAAAAATCTGAGTGTTCATTATTAAGAGTGCACTAGTGCAACTTGGAGAAAAATGATTTCAAGGCTTAGTGACCTTGTGTTGCTTTTTTCAGGAATTTAAAGCAAAATCAAGAGAATGGGATCAGAAGGAGACACTATATCAAAACCATCTCATTTCTTTAGATGCTCAACAAAAATTATTGTCTGAGAAGTGTAATTTATTTCAGGTATAGTTCCTACCTTCCTGCTTTAGAAAAATATTAATTGAACCATGAGCTCAGCTAAAGAGCTGTTTTAACTAACAATAAAATGTTTCTAAAACACTTGTTTGCAATGGTGTTGTAGCGGTGTTGGTCTCAGGGTATTACAGAGACAAGGTAGGTAAGGTAATCTTTTGTTGGACTAATTTCTGTTAGTGAAAAAGGTCCTACACACGCCTATCACAACATGCAGTATATCTCATCCAGTGCACTAAGTGCCCTAATAACAACTATGTGGGTGAAATGAGATTGTTTTCTCAAATTAACTCACACAGAAAAATGATAAAAGACAAAAGCACCATATTGCCCCTGGGTGAACACTTTTCAGAAAACAATCACTCCATATCTGACCTCTCAGTCCTCATCCTCAAAGGAATCCTCGTCACTTTAAAAAGATTCATAACTTTGTTAGACACTAAAAATCATGGACTCAATAAAGACACTGGATATATGGCTCATTACAACAATCTATAACCCACTAACCTCTTTCGTTCAATGACTGCAGAGATGTTAACTGCCCACTTCACCTTGAATGGTCTCTTACATGTTAACTCTTTATGCTAAACAATCTATTCCACCTTGTATTTAGCTGTGACCTTCTGAGTAACTTTCCCAGACCTAAAGAAGGGCTCTGTGTAAGCTCAAAAGCTTGTCTCTATCACCAACAGAGATTGGTCCAATAAAAGATATTACCTCACTCATCTTGTCTTTCTAAAACACTGCTAAATTTACCGTGACTCTAAAGAAGAATTAATATGCACAAATTGCTGTAAATCCAGGGGAATCCTCTCTGAAACAACTAATACTTGATACTTGGAGTAATTTTCATTTAAGTTTTTCTTGTATATTGTGAATACGTACCAAGTGAGTATTACAAATATTTGGAATAGATAAATATGGAAAAATAATGTATACTCAGTTTTCCTTTAAAAAAGCATGATGCATATAGGGTCTTGCTCAGGTTCTTGTCTAGGTGGCATCTCTTCTATGCTATTTATTAATATACAGTTCATTAGGATGATCTGTACTGCAAGAAGACTTGCAAAGTAAGTAGTGCAAATTATTAGTGTTCATTCAATAATTGTCTATATTGATCCCCATTCATGAGAACAGTGCGACCCCAGAATTCAAGCTCAAGAATCTTCTAGAAAGTAATGTTTGATGTATCCACTCATCCTTCTTTCCTTGCACTGATTTCTGGGATTGTAACAGTTGAAGTGGCTTGACACACTTTCCAGTCCTCTTGACCACCAATGGTTCAGCAAGTTGTCCTCTGTGCTTTCCTCATTGGCTTTGAGGGTTACTGTTTTGTTTATATAGTTACTTGGTCAGTCAATTTTTAATTTTTTAATCTACTTTAGCACAAAGGGTAGATTTTTTGGAGTCTTAATAGATTATACAACTATAAAAGCCTTCTTGCCTAAAGATAGGTTCCATGCCATCCAGGAGATAGGCTCCAGGCTATCAGTCTTCCGGAGAAGCCTGGCTGGGGCCAAGATCTGGGGTGGACTGTTCCCTGTCAGGGCCTCCCTGAGAGAAGGGAATAGTTTATATTTCTTTGCATTTATTTTGAACTTTGGGTACCCTGGGAGGGGTGGAACTGCTATGTGACCTAACTGGAGGGCTAAATCACCTGGAAGGTATTGAAAGCTGGATAGATCAGCTGAAGGCCCTGAGAGAAACAGAGGCCGAATCACTGCCATAAGAAGGCATGCTGGCATTGAATATGGCCACAGACAGATAGGTGCCTAAATACTTTTGTTGATCTAGCACTTCGTGTAATATGAGGCTAAAACCTTGGGTCAGTTTACCTCAGCTTAGACGGGTGTTGAGCCACCAAAAGATATCAGAACACACAAAATAGGACTTAAGACAATCTATAGCATGCCTTTTCACTGCCTCCATCAATGAAATATGCTACTTGTAGCTCTGTACATTTTTTTATGCAGCATTACTCTTTCAAGTGAGCTCTAGACCTGATGCCCAATTTGAAGGAGCAGTCCTGCTGTCATTTTTCAGCTAATTCAGACCCATCTTCTGAATAGTTACTGCTGCTTGTTAATCTTCCAGGAGTGGGGATCCACATGGTCAATTCTTGAAACAGTGAAAGTGGTTACCATAGTAACTGATTTTCCAAGGTGACTGTGGATCCATAAACACTGCCCACCTTCCCCAACTTTCAGTTGAAGGATTCCCTAATTAGTAAAAGGGACTACAGGATGGTTGGAGGCCAATCCCATTATACTCTAAGCTCAGATCCCTGTGTAATAGTACTTTCTAGAAGATTCTGAAGGTACAATTATTCCCCAGCTGAGTGGATCCATGTGGGCAATCATCTCAGAGAAGCACAGTTACTATGTAACTAACTGGGTTTTTTATATATGGATTGTGTGGTGTTAGCTTAAAAGTGAAAGGCAAATTTCTGCCTTCAAATGCACATACACAACTCTTATTGAAGTCAATGTATTGGAGGGCAAAATTGCCCTCAACTAATTATTTTTCTGTAGATATGTGGTCCAAATATATCATTACATTCACATTAGTATTTACTCACATTATTGTCTATATCTTTCCCTTCTAGGGAAATAAGCACAAGAAGGGAAAACTCTTTGAGAAATTCTGCAAACTTAAATTTTCAGAGTTTCGACTACATTCTTCCACTGAGGGCAAGGGATTTGAGGCCCAATAAAGACAAGAGTGGAACATCCCTTGTCCTTTGGAGAAGCAGCAAGGAAATCCTCCAGCGTGCACAAGCCTCTCTGTGGTGCTCTATCCAACTCCCATTGTAGTTAATGAAAAGACCGCTATTGATTTTATTGGTAATGGTCTGGACCAAAGGGAGGAAATATAGTTTTTGAATTTCACTGAAATTATTTCCTTGTTCTATAGAAACAGACGCGGAATTATCAATTCCAAATCAGCAATAAGAACCAGAAACAGGAAGACGTAGCTACCTCCAGCCAATCCAAAATTGAGAGGGATGAGTTCATTATTGAAAAATTAAAGTCAACTGTGAATGAAATAGCAATAAACAGGAATAAGTTACAAGAGGAAAATCTAAAACTACAACAGGAACTAACAGTGTACCAAACACAGTGCCAGGTAATGACTAGTAATGGTATTTCTTCTCTATAAGTACAGTTGAATAAAGCTAAAGGAATTAATGTTGAAGCATTAATTATTGAGGAATACATTTTCAAAATTCCTTTGGAACACTTGTATGGAGGATGATTATGTAAAGTACATTCATTCTTTACAAAACCCATAATGTGCTTCCAGATGTGCCATCTTTTGAATGACACACAAGAGAAAACAAAAATGTTTTTGATATGCAGTACTGTCATTTATTTTATTCTTGTCTATGTTTTATTCCTCACACTTTACACCTCACACTTCACCAAAGAAACCCAGCTTCATTCACTGTATCTTGTGTATCAATGGCTTTCATGAATGTTGTTTGTCTGGCTTACGTGGAGTAGTACACAAGATGCTATGAAATTGTATCTAAGTATCTAGAAAAAATGTATGGTAATATATTTTGTTATAGGCAGATCTGGTAGCGCAACCTGGTATTAGGGTTGCCCACCACCCTTGAAGCCTGTCGAAGTTGCGGTAGCCTGTCCCCTGGTTTTGTGGGATTCAGTGCTGTCCAGAATCTCTGCAGTGCTATATATTGCAGCCCCATCTGCGATATACCCTTCTTTCCCTCAGCTTGCCTTCCATGCCAGAACTTGGGAAGACAGTCTTACTGGTATCTTTTTTAGTTCTTCTTTGACTAGGGTCTCTATGGGTGCTCCAGTTCGGTGTGATTTTCGGTAGCAGTGCCAGCTATGTAGGGCTGTGTGGGCAAACTGCCTTCAGTTCCTTCTCAATCACCTAGGCCTCAGACAGAGTATTTAGCATGCCCACGTTAGAGCTGGTCAAGCTTGCCTCTGACTTTCAGTTAGTTATAGTGTTTTGTTTAATTTAATGTAGTATTTAGTATTTATTTTCTTTATTCTTGAGAGTTTTTACTTATTTCCCTGATCATCCTCTCACCCTCTCCTCCTGGGACGTCTCACTCCATTTGAGTAGATATGCCAGAATCATTGGAACTCAAGCATGTGTGACATTTATGCAAATTATTTGCAAATGTCTAATTAAGTCATTTGCATGTATGCAAATTATTTGTATATACACATACATTTCTGCTTAACATCTAAGCATCACAAAACTTGGCAACTGTGGCAGGAGGGTGGGTGCCTGAAAGGTGTATTGGAGCTGCCTTGGTGGGGAGGTAAGCTGCAGCCGGTGGATTTGTGGGATGGTCTGGGAGTTTAATGGGTGGAGGTGGCTGAGAGATGCTGGGCCATATCTGAGATTTATGGGGCTGTTTGGACAGAAGATGGGGTAACTGTGGTATTGTAAGGGAGGCTGGATAAAGCTATGTTTGTAGGAGTACCCAAGAGGGAGAAGACGGGGGTAAAGTCATTGCATGAGGGAAGATGGGTGGTAGCTTAGGGAAGATATGTTTGTGAGAGTGTCCAGGAAGATAGTATGGGAGGTGTCTGGGAGGAAGAAGGAAAGAGCTGGCGAGGGTATCCTGGGAAAGTTGGGATGAACCGAGTGGGGTGGTGAAGGGTTGGGGGAGAGCTGGGTCCTATTGGGAATGAGGGAGAGAGGAAGCATGGATGAGGGGGACTGGCTGGTTACTATGGTGGGTTGCCTGGGGCTTGTATTGGGCCCCCCTCACCTTCTGTCCTTTCCACCATTGATTGCCTGCTCCTTCTGGCTGCTTTTTCCCCCACTGGGATCCAACAGGGGAGCAGTGAGCCAGAGGCCAATTGGCTGCCTGCTCAGGAAGAGCCACAGCAGCCAAGAAAGAGATCTTAGAGTCATTGTGGTAGTTCTCTGAAAACATCCATTCAGTGTGCAGTGGCAGTCAAAAAAGCTAACAATGTTAGGAACAATTAGGAAAGGAATAGATAATAAGACAGTAAATATCATAATGCCACTATATAAATCCATGGTATGCTCAATCTTGAATACTGCATGTAATGCTGGTTGCCCATCTCAAAAAAAGATATATTAAAATTGGAAAAGGAACAGAGAAGAACAATAAATATGAGTAAGGGTTTGGGACAGCTTCCATATGAGGAGAAATTAAAAAGACTGGGACTAAAGGGGGATATAATAGAGATCTATAAAATCATGAATGGTGTGGAGAAAGTGAATGAGGAAGTCTTATTTATACACCTTCACAAAACATAAGAACTAGGGTCCCCCAATGAAATCAATAGGTAGCAGGTTTAAAATAAACAAAAGGAAGTACTTCTTCACACAATGCACAATCAATCCGTGGAACTAATTGCCAGGGATGTTGTGAAGGCCAAGAGTATAACTGGGTTCAAAAAAGGATTAGATAAGTTAATGAGGATGGGTCCATCAAAGGCTATTAGTCAAGATGGTCAGGGATGCAACCCCATGCTCTAGGTGTCCCTAAGACTCTGACTGTCAGATTTTGGGACTGGATGACAGGGGATGGATCACTTGATAATTGCCCTGTTCTGTTCATTCTCTTCGAAGCACCTAGCATTGGCCACTGTTGGAAGTCAGGATACTGGGCTGGATGGACCATTGGTCTGACCCAACATGCCTATTCGTATGTTCTTTAACAACCATAAGCCATGATTAAAGGTCATTCCTGCAGCTTGTTGAACTCAGTCTGGGCTGTGGTCTGGAAATATTTGAGGTGTGGCCTGTATGTGTGTGTGACACTTGGCAGGTCTGCATAGTTCAGGTGGTGGTAGTGAATTCACTAGTAGTAATGAATTTACATGACAACTCAGTCACACACATCTAACAAAGAAGCTGAACAGGTACAGGGTAGAGTTGGCTGGAAATTTTGGAAAATACTAATTTGTCAAAACTGACACTTTTTGCAGGAAAGTGTTGGTTTTGACTAATTAGTTGATTAAGAAGAGTTCAGAAAAAAAAAGTTTTGAAATTGTCTAAATGTTTCTTTTGATATTTTCAGCACAAAAAAAATCCAGTTTTCCAGTTTGAAATGTCTTTTTGGGTTGGAAATTTAAGCTAATTAGAATAAAAAACATTTTGAAATTATCAAAACAAAATGTCTAGTTAAGGCACATAGTGGACAAATGAAGCACTGTTTGTGAGAAAAACTGCTGGCTTGCTGAAGGTTTAAACATAGCTGCATTCTGGGTTCTTTGAATTATAAACCTTGCTACTGCTTTTATTATTTAATATCCATTCCTGCTCAATTCCAAAGCAGGAGTTATATGATTATAAATATAGTAATAAGAATTTCCTGGGTTTGTGTCCACTCACTATCGCCTCACAAGGAGCTGACAGATTCCTGGAATCCAAATCTTTCCTGCCTCTTTGGAAGCAATGGCAGTGTTATACAGGGAATGTAGCTGAAAAGCATGCAGGATCCAGCAGCCAAACTAGAAGGCCTTGCAGAATTTCTGGTATTTATAGTAAATGCTTGACAATACATTCATACATTTAAAATCAATCCTTAAAAGAATCAAACTCTAAGGTAGCCATGAGTAAGTCCTTGTAGCCTCTATTAAGAGTTTATTAAATTTAATTTTTACTTGGAAATGCTCAGAGATGCACTTCGGTGTTTAACTAAAGCTTTTAACCCTTTAAACAAAGGGCCAGCCCAGTGGTGGAGTTGTAGCACAATACTTGAAATGCTAGAGATCCTATACACAATTAAAGCTTGGTCCACCCCTCTCAAGCCAACAAAGGCTGTGAGAATTTAGTCAGTATGCCCAACTCCTGCAGGAGAGAGAGAGTGCTTCACATCACTCTTCAGCAACCCTTTCAGGCAAAGAAAACCACAGTCCTCTTTGGTTAGAAGAAAAGTCACTCTAATCTGAGACGCCCCTTCTGGGGGAATAAACCCTTTGAAGGGACTCACTTGCAATAGCTGTTCTGGATTCACTCTTCTGAGATGTAAATTTCCGTGATCATTTTTGAAGCTTTAAAAGCTTTCTTTTCACTTTTAAATGTATTGAAATAAAACAAAGAAGTGATGAAAAACACTAACATTTTCTTAGCATACTATCTTAAAGGCAAAGTCTACCACCATTGGAACATTCTTGTTTCTTTTATCCACTACTTGTTTTTTTTGCCATTGCTCAAAAGTTATGTTTTCAAATTATATGCTCATATTTTAGTTTAATTGTGCTGGTTATAATGAGGGCTTATACATAGATATTATTTCAAGGATAATACTGTTGCCCTTTTTGACCCAAGCAGCTAGTCGAGTTTGGGGCCCTATGGGTGTTCCAGTTGGGAGTAAAAATTGGTGTTAAGTATTTCTTTGATGCAGTTTTGTGTATTTACAAAGAATGTACAAAGTCCTGTGATCTCTGAATGCAGAAGGAATCAAATAGCAGGAAACAGCTTCTTTTGCTTACAGTACCAAGAGCACTCTTATCAGCCTGCACTCTCTGACCCAAAAGTCTCTCCCCAGGTTTCTTCCAGGATCAGCCACCATGCTCCTTTAGGCTGTCTTTTTCTTGTCTGTTCTCAGCTTATTAGTGTAATTACACACATACACACACACATGCTTGCTCACTTCTGGGCAGATTCACACTCCTTTTGCCTTACGTGGGGCTTCTGCTTACAGTCAGGGTGAGTTCACACCTATCAGTCTCAATCCCATAACAAGCTTTCACCAAGCTCATAACAATATGATGTTTACATGTCAGTTGTTTGTCACATTTTTAATTCCAAGAAATGAAAGGTGAAGTAGGATCAACACTAGAGAAGTCCTAGGGCAAAGCTCAATAGTGATGGTTTGAAAGCTTGTATAGTTGATGCTATAAATAAACTGTCATCTCTGACTAGATGCAGATAGCTTTGGAGATGAATGAGTGCATGTTTTAGCTAGATAGATTCTACTTCAAAGTGGCCTCTGCATGTTCCCACATGTGGAATCTAGTCACATACACTGCAAGCTTCTGGAAGCTTTTAGAGAGTGTCTGTTGGAGCCATTCACCTCCACCTAATCTTCTCCTTATTCAGGATTCCCAGGATATAAAATGTTAGACCTCAATGTTAGGAAAATATAAAATACCACTAAATGGTGCCACTGAATCCTGCATCATAGAGTGTGATCTAGAACAGTAGTTCTCAACCCAGGGTCCGTGGTCCCCTGGGGGGCCATGAGCAGGTTTCAGGGGGTCCACCAAAATAAACTGGGCTTCAGCCCTAGGTGGTGGGGCTCAGGGAGGGAGCGCCACCTCTTCCCCCTGTCACCTCATTGGGCCACCCAGCCTGCAGGTCAGCACCAACAACAAGTTTCACACTAAGTAAAAAAAAATAATATTCAGTTTTTTATTTTTGTACGTATATTATCCTTTTCTTTTTATATTATATATGTATATGTGTGTGTTTAGCTGTATAATTATCAATTTAATACAGCTTTTACTATACTGGATATGCAGAAAAAACAGTTGTGGCACAGGTGGGTCGTGAAGTTTTTATAGCATGTTGGGGGGGCTCAGAAAGAAAAAGGTTGAGAACCCATGGTCTAGATAGAACACACTGAAGCAAACTGAGACTGTTTTGGAAAACTTAAATAAAATGAGAAGTTACCATAACACTGCAGAAGGTTTCCTAGGAATATGTCAGAGATAAACGCATCTTAGCAATGCATGACCTAAAGAACTTTTTTTTGAGTGACATTTCTGGAGAGAGAGACTGACTGTTGAAAACCTTACAAAAGCAATGCCTACTCCAAAATAGGAACTGGCCTCAGAATAAAAGCAATTTTTCAAATAAAAATTGCTTCTTAAATTCATATTAAATATGTAATATAAAGTATATGTCAGAATATTTATGCTACAAGACCATGGAATTTAAAGCCACTACTGAGTCATTTTAATCATTTATTTATTTAGAACGTGGAGGCAGGACTTTCAGAGATGAGAAATGAGCTGCAGTCACGTGATGCCCTCTGGAGAGGGATGGAAGCGGAATTCCAGCAGTTGCGTAAAGAATTATTCAAAATTGGAGAATGTAAGAACATCCAAGAAAATCAAATGAAGTATGTATTTGAAAGACATCATTTACATTGTAAAGAATTTGTGAGCTAAATAATGTTTTTCTTCCTTTTGGTTTATATTTTTTTTTAAAAGATATTGTAGATTAGAAAATCAAATTCATGTTTGAATTAATATTTTAGTAATTTTATCTTATGAGATTGTAATCAATAGCTACACACTCAGTTAAACAGTTTTCATGATGCCTAATTGTTTAAAAAATATATTTTATATGGCTTTATATGCTCATTTGATTAAAGGAACACCTTTCCTTTGGTCTAGGTACTCTAACACAGTTTTAAAAAATGCATTGATTAAAAAAACAAGACTCTCTAACACCCTCTACCCCCTGACAACAATTTGTATGATTTTTACAGCTAGGCTAGTAAACGTGTGTTTTGCTGTAGCCATGTGGCATTATATGGCATATGGGTTCACAAGTGATTTCAGGATTCTTACAGCAGACAGGTGGTCCATGGATCTACCAAGCTCCACCCTGGTTTAGGTGACCAAATCTCCTGCCTTTTCCATAAGAGGGCAGCCCTTCCCTGATTGAATGGTGAGGCAAAAACTCCGTCAGCTGTGGCTCATGGCATTGTCTGCCCACTTCATGGGTTTTTCTCATGCAGGGAACAATTTGACCCTCAATATTTACTATTAATGCTTTTTTATTTAAAGGCTTCAGTCAGCCTATGCACAATGTATTCAGGAACTAGAAAACAAAAAAGCAGAGCTATTACATTTGGAACAACACCAGGAAAGTCAGCAAAAAGAGCTAAAAAAGGTATTTCACATTTGTAAATATTTTGAAATCTTAGTTGTAATAGAATTGGGTTTTTTTTAAGTATTAAGGCAAAATCATGACCTTGCTTATACGAATGCACTAAAGTGCATAAGAGAATAGCTGCATTTTCACAGGTAAGAAGGAAGCGTATGTGTGTACTGTGTTCCCAGAAGGAATAGGACAGCTGTACACTCAACACCACTGTGCACTGAGCAAATACCAGAACTGGGCGAAACATGCAAATAGAGGCAGAGACCCATGTCAAAGGGGCACAGTCATGGAAATAACTCCTACACAGACCATTTGGTCTGAGACATAAGCTGCACTGGCTGAACAGCTGGAGCAAGTTACCATGGGCACCTTGGAATACAATGCACATAACACAGCTCAGTGCAGGGCTTCTTTGGTTGAACTGTGTGCCATACTGCTCGTACGGGACCCTGGTGAGGTCAGTATAGCAGTGGCATGAGGTGACATATGGCTTGGCGGGTCTCTATACCAAATGTGGCTGTGTTACTCTCTCTGGTGTGTAGGGGATGCCCAGCCCTTTCTTCCCACATACAGCTTATACTATTGACCAGGGATGGGAGCAGCAGCATCTGCAATTGGGAGCAGCCTACGTGGTTGCTGTAGCAGATTTATAGTGACTTTGACATGAGATCATGATATATCCCTTAGATGTTTATATCTAAATTTAATTGCTCTAAAATGTTTATATTTTTGTAATAAAATGAAAATATCAACTATTGATCATGTCATTATTATGGGAAACTAATTAAAACAAATTCAGATGTAGTTTGGCTGGTTTTTGTTCTTGCTTCTAAGTAGTATGAGAATCTTCTGGTGTTGCATTATTTGTTACTGGCAGAAGGATTATGAGACCCACAATCTCTTTATAGAAACTCTGGAGTGCCAGACAGAGGAAGGTTTTGCAGAAAATATTACCTTAAATGTTATGTATTATAGCAGCAGTAGCTGTCATAAAGTGACTTTGGTGGCAAATTTTTATTCTGTAATAGCTAATACTAATAAGAGCTCTGTTCCATAATACTGTATAAGCTCTTTATTTCTGTGATTATTTCTCATAAAGAGCTTCTGTGGATTCATTTTGAGTGAAATGAGTACTTTTAAAACAGCCTAAATTAATTTAGAGGTAAGGTAAATACGTCTTAGTAAGTAACACCTTTCAATAGATTTAACATAAGAACATAAGAATGGCCGTACTGGGTCAGACCAAAGGTCCATCCAGCCCAGTATCCTGTCTACTGACAGTGGCCAATGCCAGGTGGGAGTGAACCTAATAGGTAATGATCAAGTGATCTCTCTCCTGCCATCCATCACCACCCTCTGACAAACAGAGGCTAGGGACACCAGGGATACCTTTTGTCTTAAGATATAATTATTAAAATTAATATTTTTACAAATCCTATGCTTGTTTTTTGTTGTTGTGAATTTAAATATTACTACCACCTTTGACACCACGTAAATAGACAAATGATCTAAAGAATAAATTATGGATTGTGAAAAGATGCTGAATAAAGAAAAAAGTTAATTGCATTGAATTATAAAGACATTTTATTTTAAAATTGCCTTAAAATCACTGATACGGTTAGAAGAATAGGGGAGGAAAAAATCACTAGTAGGTAATAAGTGATGTAATCTTATATACTGCATAAACATTGTCTTTTGGGAACATATTTGCTACAGATAAGGGACCATCTTTATCACGAGGAGCAGTCTCATAGCTCTGAGCAGGAAAGAATGAGGACAGAAATCTCTGACCTGACAGAAGAGCTTCATCAGAAGGAGATCACTATAGCAACTATCATGGAGAAAGCTACTCTTCTGGAAAGAAAGTTAAAAATGGAGTTAGAGATAAAAGAAAAATTGTTAGCAAAACAACAGGTATGCAAGCAAGCAAAAAAAAAAAAAAAAAAAAAACTAGGTCATTCTCCAGCTCATTACTGATACATTATCTAATAAAAAAAAAAATTTACATCTTGTGCTTTTGTTTTCATTGGCCTGCTATTATATTTAAGCTTTATGAAATAATACAAAAATAGAGCCAAAATGGTGCCAGAACAATAAAGGACCAGTAAACGTCAATTGTGCAACATCTAACTTTAACATATGATCCATTTTGATCATCAGTACTGTAGTTACATTTAAGCACATAGAAGATCTTGAAAAATTCTAGGTTGGTTTTATTATACCTACTGTATCATTAAAATTGTTCATTAGATTAGCCAGAAACTTTGTGTAATTTTGACCACTCTTTTTAACTATTGATTAAAGAATGTTTATGAAATTTTTTAGAGAAGTCTGTCAATTGTAAAGCTCGATTGTTAATCTTGCAGTATTGTAAATCATTGTAAACTTCAGTTTTAAAAACAAATAAGCTCCATCCTTTACTCACATATTTGAAAACATCTGGGTAGCAGAAACACAACTTACCCAAACCCTTGAAATTTAGAGGTGCTAATTTCTACTTTTGTAGGGAAATTAATGCTTCTTCTATTCAAGAAAAGCTTTCACTATATTAGTGTCATGATTCTTTATGAATGTTTTGAGTAAAGTATAAAATTAAACTTACACAGAACTATACTGAATATTTTGTAGCTAATATTGTTAAGTTCAACTAAGAATTTAATTTTTCCTCAGATGTCAGAGATGATGTATGAAGCTATCAGATCGGAAAACACACATTTGAAGAAGATGATAGAAAATCTGCAGTCTAGAAGATACATGGTAATTTTTGTAGCTGTGAAATATACAAAGCAGTTATTTATGTTTGTTGTTGTAATGATCTCGGGGTTCATTAAATAACAAATCAGTGAATGAGAAAGGAATAAGACTTTAATAAAAGAAACTGGAGATCTTCTGCACACAGCCATGCAGTGTTCCCAACCTTGGCCTCTAGGGACAATCTCCAAATTCCTACACTAATTATGTTGTCTCTTATGAGGGAACATCTCCAAATCACAATCTTTCATAAATATTGTGACAGTTTGCCCCTCTTTGGTGCCCCCTGTTGTGCTGAGATACCATTGAGCCTGCCTGTTATGCCAGCCTGGGCACCCTTTGTACCTGTCTTGCTGAGCCAAGCTAGTAAGCTTCCTTCAGCACATGGGGTTATGTTATAAAAAAGAAATAAGTATATTGACTACAAAAGGTGAATTTTAAGTGAATATAAGAGATAACAGACAGAACAAAGCAGATTACTGAGCAAATAAACCAAAGCACGCAAGCTAAGCTCAATATACTTAAGAAACAGCTTAAAAAATGTAATTTCTTACCCTCAATGTTATTTTAGGCAGGTTGCAAAGATTCTGTGGTTCAGGATTCCAGTTATATTTCCTTTCAGACTGGACCCCGTCTCAGTCTGGACTCTCCCCCTGCCTCCCCTTCAGGTGGCTTTAGTGGTCTTTCTTCTTGGGCAGACAGGCCATGGAGAGGAGTCTCGTTTGCCTTCCTCCCCGCCCTTAAATAGGATTTACATAAGGTAGGAATCCTTTGTTTCCCAAACTTGACCCCCCCACTTCCCTTCCAGTAGAAAGTTACAAGAAGTCCCTGGTAATGTTTAGTATCAGGTAACAAGACCACCTGACCTAGTAGTGTCACAGTTATGTCCAAACACCTCCCAGGAGGGAGAGAGATTAGTATCTTCATGGTTTTGTTGTTCCTTCCTGATGGCTCATCAAATTTGATGACCTGTCGTCTGGTGGGTGTCTTCCCAATACACACTCAGTTGTAACTGTTACATACTCCACATTCCTAACTTTAGATACAGAAATGATACATGCATACAAATTGGATAATCACATTCAGTAAATTATAACCTTTCCAATGATATCTTACAAGATCCATCTTGCATAAAGTACATCTCCGTTATGTCATATCCATAACATAAGCATAACATTTCCAAAAATTCTAAGGCATTCTAATTCAGCTTAATAGAGGAGCTTCCCAACCATTATAAATATAAATATGTAGGTGCCTATATTGTTTCCATTGACACACTTATTTTAAACATTTATCAGTGAAATCTATAGACCATTTTCCCCTTTAAGAACCAGATGAATGTATTCATTAGTAGAAAACAAATATTATTTGCAACTTTAATTACTAAAATTATGACCTGCTTATTTTGAAGTATTTCCTTCATGGATTTTCATTTGTGTTACATAAGAGCCCAATTATTTGATGTACTAAGCACCTCCAGTAGAATTCAGAGCTTCCTCATTGTCTGTGGAAGTTAATGGGGGTTGAAGATGCTCAGAACTATGAAGAAGGTGCTCAGCATTTTGCAGATTTTAGCCTTTAACACGTTAGCCCTTTTGCACCTTTCCAATTCTTCTAACCCCAAAAATCTAAAAAGAGCTTCTTTTTTGTACTAGTTGTAATTTTGGTTGAATCAATGAGCTTTTGGACCTGCAAACTAAATAATTTTACAGTAGCTTTTATAATAACAGTATTGCAAAGTGACCTCTGAGGGTAGTGTTGGAACTGGATTTCAATCTCTAAACTCAGTTACCATTTTTTTTCTATTGCATCTTTTTGAACTCCAGGGAAGCCTGTTTATTTATAAACAAATGTCTAAGAAGATTTCTCCAGGTTTTTTATCAATAGTCTGCCATGTCTTTCTAGATGTTTTGCCTTTCACACCCATGTATTGCTACTATATATAGCGTTCAAACGAATAGTCTGATAATGCCTTTGTGTATTTTTTCTTATTATTCTTATTAGTGGAAATATTACTTGAGGAGGCAATATAGTTAAATCAACTGCAAGCTTTGGCAGCTAAGGATTACTTTCATGGCTTAGTTTTTCAAGGAGAGTAATTCAAATAAACCGAACAAATTTAGTACTCTACTGCCTTGAATGCATTGTTTGTGGAAAAATTCTAATTTAATTTCATTGTGTTTCAAAGGCTATTATTCCCATTAATGTCGTTCTTTTTTTCTAGAGGCACTTCTACTGGTGTATCATTTACTATGAATGCTGTGTGATTACATATGGTAACTAAGTATTTAGCAAAGAGTGTTGCCTTGTGTTTCATGTTAAAAATATTAATTCTAGTTACAGTGAAAAAATGCCCATTTAATGATGATTTTATTTTCTTCCACAGACTATAGATTTATCTAACACAGAACATGAGAATTACACAGCTTCCATTCATGAACTTGAGTGTGAGAATGAAAGGTTACGAAATAATCTTGGTAAATTGCAGAGTGATTCAGAAACATCAATATTGGCTACTCTGGATAGATATGGAGAAACAAAGCACACTAAGCAAACCCAATTAGAAATGCAAGAAAAGGAAGAGAGGTAAAATTTAAGTTGCAAAGATACATTAATTTTTCCGTAAGCGTCTTTTAAAAAAGTCAAATCCTCAAGTTCCTACTCCGTTTTTGTTCATTTAAAACTCCCACTACCTCAATAGACATTTAGTTCAATTAGTAAGCAAGTATGGCTGCAGAATTTGGCCAGAATTCAAATTATTAAAACATCTGTTTATTATTTATAGATTATTTTTGTGCTGTTTCTTCTCAAATCAATAAAAATTTTGAAAATAAAGTACATTGGCACCTGATACTGGAGACCCATGGAAGCCAAAGGGAATCTGCAAGTGTTTAATATTGCAGAATTGTACCCAATGGATATAAACCCTGGTTTCTGAGTTGCAGGCAATATTACAATATAATAACATCAGAAATCTGGTATAATACATTTAGCAATAAATCAGGACTATAATTATAATTTTAGGGTTGATATCTGCTCTTATACAAAAACTTCTCATTTTTGTTTGTCCACTGGTTATGGTGCAGGAACTCGTGTGTGTGCTAGGGTGCCTAACTGAAGAGAACAGAGGCAATTTTCAAGACAATTTAGGACTATATCTAATTTTCATATACATTTATATGAATTTTATTATCAAAATATACACAACCATAATTTGTGTGGTACCTCAATCTTCCTTGATAATATACTAATAGAAATATTTTTGTTTGTTCTGAGCAATAAAAATTGGCAGTTTATCAGCTTTGTCTTCACCCTGCAGTCACAGAGATAAGTTAGTCAGGAACACATTTTTATGACTCCAGGGGATACATTTGAATCTCTGACACTAACCTGTGCATCTTATGTTGTTCAAATATGGGGGGAAATATGGTTTCATTTACTTATTTAGATGTGTATACACACTAAAAAAGAGCAAATATCCATTTGTTATGGGCACCCAGAACATAACTGAAATTTATATTTATCTATCTATAAAAATACTGAAACATATCTAAAGTACAGCAGTACAATTCAGTATGGCCCACTACCAGCAAATCAAGGAATTCAAAAGCTTAAATCCCCCTCCAACAATTCCCCACTCTGACATTTCCTCTCCTAATTTTGAATTCCTGTGAAAAAATGAGCTTTTCAGAATACCCTGAACATCATCAAGTCCAGGCACTTTGGGCCAACACTTTTCATCCCAAACTGTTTTCCCAACAAAAAAACAAAAATATACATGTAGTGCTGGAGTGGCCATTTACTTAGCACCCCCTTATGACCAGGGATTGCTTTACAAGAACTCTCCCTATTAGCCCCCTCTTGCAAGCCCCTTTAAGTACTACACACTGTCTTAGTTGTGGCTTACAGCACCCCTTTCTGGGTCTGGTTTAATATCAAATAAAGTTCACACAATCCTCACAGTCTTTACTCACAATGAGTCCCACACATAATGTCCATAACCGTAATTTAACAGTTCATAATTAGCTCCGGTTCTTGAGCCACACCCAAAGCTCTTCCTCTGTAAATCTGCTCCACCCAAAGCCAATAATCCTGTCTGGCTGGAGCTCACTCGTTTGGCCCTGGCTTCCCTCTGCATCAGTGTCTCCCTTCATCTGAGACAGAATGCAATCTATATATTGCCCTCCTCCAGAGAGCTCCTCCTGATTGGCTGGAGGAAAGGAGACCCCTGTCCCATCATACATTACAGAGCTCCTGATCCTAGGCCCTTAAAGGAACTGTGTTCAAGGGTTTTTCCCACCTCATGCAACTCCTAGTTCTGCAGGACCACTTCCTCTGTTCCACTATCATTTTCTGGGCCCATTTTCCATTCCAACACCTGACACCAGGTCTTCTGGCCCCCGTATTCTTAAAGGGCTAGTATGCCCCATTATAATAAAGGAATCACATCACCATTAAAATAAAATGTGGCCATCATTAGGATGACAGAGTGGCAGCCAAAGGACAGCTACAACATATTATTTTGCACAACAGTGAACATAGTTGAAAATGCACCAAGGGAAAATCTTTTCTCTTAGAGAGTACCATGGGATTATTATTACTTATCATTTATGTAATGCTTCTGCCAGGTGCCATCGACAGCACCGGCTTGACAAAGCCCTGGCTGGGATGATTTAGTTGGGAATTGGTCCTGCTTTGAGCAGGGGGTTGGACTAGATGACCTCCTGAGGTCCCTTCCAACCCTGAGATTCTATGATTCTATGAAGGGCTCTGTTCCATATCTAGGGGTTTCTCTTAACATTACAAAACCAAATTGTCTCGGGCCTCCATTCAGAAATCTGGGAAAACTAAACACCACCCCTGGGTGCCTCTAAGAGGCAATGTTTCCCCACTTGCAAGCACTGAGTCTGTGGATAAGAAAAGAAAACTTTATTAAGAGCAGAGGGATACACGGCATTAACTTGGGAAAGCACCACAACAACAACTCAGAAGTAAGTAAACAATAAGTAATTAATTAAAGCACCCTCCCCACAGGATCTTGGGCAGCAATCCTTTGCCTCAGTTTCCCATCTTGTGATATGAAAGTCCAATGGATGAATATCCCTTAAACACACCACTTCCTTTTCCCCTCCACTGGACCCCAATGATGGTTTGTTGTCTGAGGTTAGTGAAGTGCCACAGTCCAGGGGTGAATTCAGGTGGGACAACCTCCCAGCCCACCGTTGAGGGTTGGCAGAGTGATGCTACTGACTCTGCTCACCGCTGTTGCTGCCAACTCTGTCGCTACTTGCAGTCATTGCCTCCTCTTGCTTCTCGCCAGCATTGCAGTCACTGGCACTGTTTGCCACTGTCACTCCACCAGTCCATTTGTAATTTCAGCTCTTAGTGATTTCACAGGGTAGCAGGCAACCTCACTGGTACTGCCTCCTAAGCATTATATTTTGTCACAATACTGGCCACACCACAAGGTCTAAGGTTCAGGGCCTATCCCAGCTTATCAGAAACTTCAGCTCTAGCAGTCACATAGAAGAAACAAGGACTCACAACTGAATCGGATCAGCTCTGTCTAAACACTGGAGAAGGAAGGTCAAATGGCTTTAGTACCCTTTAAACAAGTCCACACAACCAGATAAAAACTCCTGTCCACAGCCATCTCTTTCACTTGGATTTGGCATCACTACCACTCACTTAGCGAGTGAATTTAGGGTGATCCTCCTCAATTAAGGCATATTAAATATAGTTCTACTGCTCTTTACTTATACAATAAGGATAATGACATTACATTACCCCTGCATCCAAGACTAAAGTGAATTTTAGCCAGACCAGCCAAAACTGATCACTTGGCAGAGCAGGCTGGTCTGCTGATCACCTAAGCAAAGTAAGTGTGTCTTTGAAAATAAGGTCTGCTCCTGAAGTCTTTCTCCCCAGTTCATCAATTAATGGCAGGGGAGAGCTCATTCAGACAACTACGTTTAAATTGTGATAGCACCTAGGAGCCCCAGTCATGACTATGCCCCCCTTGTGTTAGGCACTGTACAAACACTGAACAAAAATATGGTCCTTGCCCCAAAGAGTTTACAATCTAAAGATCTTCAATGACAGACAGACCAGACAAGAGCACAGTTTTTAAGGATTCAGCAGAAAAACACACAAATTAAACTCTATAAAACTCAGTTTATGCTTATCAGATGGTTTAAAAGCTGTATTTATATTCCTTGAATTTTAGTCTTAGTGAGTCTAGTTTTTTCTAAATTGAAGCTTAGGGGAAAGTTGTGGCTTTCAGTCTCTGGAATGCTGTGGTATTGGAGCACGTTGTGTGTTTTAGAAGGAAGCATGATAACTATGGTGGTCATAATGCCTCTGGGGGCATTGGAGGAGCCTGATGAGGAAAGATGTGGTCTCCTCTGCCTATATTTTTATATTGACATCAATGAGACTACTCACATACTTAAAGTTAAGCAAATGCTTAAATGCTTTGCTGGATTGAGGCCAGAGTATATAGTGCCATGTGGGATCATAATGAGGAAGTATATTCTTTGTGCAGGTAATGATGTACTTTGTTGAATCCATTACCATAATTTGTAAGAGGAGTCTTTTTATGCCTTTTAAATAGTAACAGTTGAATGTAACAGTTGAATTACACAGTTTGTGTACTTCTAGCAAGCAGCACAGACTAAATAGGTGAGGTGCTTTTTCCCCACCAAAAAGCAGCATTTAGCATAAACTGAGATTAACACCACACAGCTAATTATAACCCAAAGAACCAAGAAGAAAGAAACAATCAATTACCATTGCTGATTTTGTTAGGAGAGTCAAAATCCTACTCACTCTATACAAACAGTCCAATGTCTACACAATCATAAACTCTTACTGGGGAAGTTAAGTGTCTGTATGTTGCAAAGTTCATTCATTGATTAAATCCTCAGATCCATATTATTTTACTATCTTTTCACTTTCTCTGTAACTTTTCTCGTGATGAAGTAACAGCATAGTCTGAAAATATCATATTTTTGAGTCTGTATGTGACTCATCTCTGCCGAATGGAAACTATTGTGTTGTTTCCGTGTTCTGTAAAGGGCTGTTTGTATTGGTAGCCTTTTCTTCAACTGTGTGGCTCAAATCACGGCAGCAAGATCTGAAGTGAATGACTAGTAAACATATGAAGCTTGTCATAGTCTTATCTTAGTTTACTGTTAGTATCACTATTGGTTTTGGCTATTTTTATTAAAAACTGTATTGATAGTCATAAATATTACATTTTGTAACAGGCCCAGCTCCATCCTCGTCCCCTGCAGAAATCGCACAGACTCCACTAGGTGTGCTTTTAGTGACACTTTATTTCTATTTCTCTTCACCAGTATCACCACAGACCCCGTGCTCCCACCTATTTACAATCTTTGCTGAGCTTTATGCTCACTGAGTAGCACCTGCAAGGAACAGAGATCTTCCTACTCTGTGACCACTGCATTGCCAGGCTCAGCTAGCCCTGTTTCTCCCATCCACCCCTTCTTGCACTTCCTTCCTATGCCTCTTTTATCAGGGGCCAATTGAATGTTTACCCCTCCCAGCCCATCACCCTGATTAGA